CGGAATTGGTGCCGATGGGCGTCAGGCTGTGTTTCAGCTACACGAGCATCAATGCGCTCATTTACATCTCGCTCATCCCCCGATGGTCCGTGGCACCATTTATTGCTCTTTTCACCTCCAGTTTTCCTCACTGCACCGGGACAAATGCACTCATCTCTTTTCAATTTCAATTATGTTTTCTTCCCTTCCCTCCCTTCCTTCCTTCCTTCCTTCCTTCCTTCCTTCCTTCCTTCCTTCCTTCCTTCCTTCCTTCCTCCCTTCCTCCCTTCCTCCCTTCCTCCCTTCCTCCCTTCCTTCCTTCCTTCCTTCCTTCTTTCCTTCCTCCCTCCCTCCCTCCCTCCCTCCCTCCCTTCCTTCCTCCTTTTCCTTCCTTCCTTCCTCCCTTCCTACCTCCCTTCCATACTCCTCATGAGAGGCAGACGAGGCACACGGAGCCGCTACCACAGAGATCTTTGCCTGGTTAAAAACCAGAGCACTGCGAGGTCACTTCGGTGGGAACACCGAGCGATGGCGAGGTGTCACGGTCCAACCACAACACGGCCTCGTGGCTGAGAAAGTGGATGCAAAATACGTATCTCTGGGATGAGCGCGGGCTAATCGTGCTGAGGACACGGGTCGGCACGCTGAGAACGTGGTGGTGGCAACATTGGGCGAGCGCGGGGCGACTAGGAAGGATCGTCAGGGGGAAAAATAGCTCGAGAATGAAGGGATGAGACGGGGAAAGCCTGGCCAACGTGGGGGGACCGTGGGTAATCGCGTGGGTCGTGTGGGGCAAAGACGGCGCTGTGATGGGGTGACAAAGAGGCGACAAAGAGGTGGCCGCGGTGGGAACACGGGGTGTCGCTGGGTGACCGCAGTAAGGAAGCGAAGGACCAGGGCTCAGCGTTCAGCGAGTTCTTATCGAGGAGGGCACAGAGCAGGCTCCGCAGCGGCAGCGGGGAACGCGGCGACAGCACGAAGGGAAGCTGCAGCTCCCGGCTGGGGAGTGCAGGACGTGCTGGTGGAGCAGCGGCGCGGGGCGGCTGCTAGTTCAGGACCCCTGCAGGGAAAGGGGAGCAATGAGGAGCACGCTGGGCTTGGGGCTCCTCGGTGCGGTGCTGTCAGCGGGGGAATGCGAAGTCACCTGGAGCGCTTGGATCGGGGCGCCCTGAAAGCGAGCGAGACGAGGTCAGCACGGCCACGGCTCAGCGCCGCCAGCTCCTTCCCCCCAGCGCGGCCCCACCGCCCCCTGCTCACCTTTCTTCCAGCGCAGGAAGACGAAGAGCCCCAGCGCCGGGTAGACGAGCCCCAGCACGAAGCCCCCGACGCCCAGCAGCAGCTTGCTCCTGCCCGCGTCCAGCGGGGGCTCTGCGGGGACGGGAAGGGGAGCTCGGGCTCCGAAGGCCGCGCTCCCGCTCCCCCCACGGCTGGCCGGGGGCCGGGGGCCTTACCCCACAGCCGGCTGACGGGCTGCCGCAGGCTGACGTGCTGCACCCGGCACACGTAGCCGTCCCCGAGCCGCGGGCCGGCCTCCAGCACCAGCAGCACCTGGTACGTCCAGTCCCCGTTCTGGATCACGCCCGTGGACGCGACGCGCTCCGTCTCCTCCCGGCCGTTGTGGAACCACTTCACGTCGATCTCGGGCGGGTAGAAGCCCGTCACGTAGCAAGCCAGCCGCTCGGTCTGGGGCGGGGAGCCCGAGCGCAGCGCGCGGATCCTCACCTTGGGCTCTGCCGGGGCAGGGAGGAGGGCGTCGGGGCCGGGCTGCGGGAGCGCTGCGTGCGCTCATCGGCGCCGCGCCCGTCACGAGCTGCGGGGACGCGACCGCACCTCTCTTCTGCAGCGTCAGAGGGAGCGCGATCTCGTGGTTGTGGCCGCACAGCATCTCCGCCGCGGCCCTGTTCTTCTCCAGCACGTCCGGCTGGCCGTTGAAGAGCCGCGCCGCGGGCTCGCCCAGGACCGCGTCGGCCACGAAGAGACCGACGTCGCTGTCGAAGTGCACGTACTGCTGCCGGTTGTAGACGTGCCGCACCACGAACCTCGTCCGCTCCGTGCCGTTGAGGAAGCGGCACTCGACCGTCGCGCTCCACTGGAAAAAGGCTGCGGGGAGACGGAGCGGCACGGAGCGCGGCCGCCCCTCGCCGGACCCCAAAGCCCCTCCCGGCCTCGCTCCGTCCCGGCCCCACCCCGCCGCCGGCGTCCCGAGCCCCGGAGCTCCGAGCGGCCCGCACCGTCCCCAGCCCGGGGCTCCGCGCTCACCCGAGGGCCGCGTGCCGGCGGCCAGCCGCGCTCCCAGCGCCGCCAGCGCCACCAGCACGGCCCCGGCCGCCAGGACGCGGCCGCTCCCCATGGCTGCCGTCGGAGGAGGACGAAGGGTGCCGGCAGCCCGCGCCGCCGCTCCGGAGCGGGGAGTGCCTGGGCTGGGCGGCATCACCCGTCTCCGGGCAGATTTCCATTCCTGGTACCTCCATCAGCCCCGGCGTGACGGCGCTGTCCTGGGTGCCGTCCGTCCGTCCGTCTGTCTGTCTGCTCCGAGGAATGCTCGCTGCCGCTGCTCTGCCTGGGAACAGCCGTGTCGCTCACAGGGCTCCGCCTGAGCCCCACGCTCCCTCCATGTCGCCCAGTGATACAGCCGTGTTCCCGCTGTAATCACCCCCTGGTCTTCTCTTTGTCACCCCATCAGAACGCCATCTGTGCCCCATATGACCCACATGATGGTCACCCCATCATGGCCAGACTTTCCCCTTCTGATCCCTTCATTCTCAAGCTATTTTTCTTTTCCTCATAACCTCATGGTCATCCAGTGGTGCCACCAATTTCTCAGCACGGTCTTCCTATGTTCTCACCAAGATTATTCCACGCTCATCCTCTGAACACCTATTTGTCACCACATTCTTACCCACGGTCACCTCATGACTGCGGGATGTTTTGGCTGTGACTCCGCCAAAACTTTTGTCACCTCTTCATCGTCCCATTCTCACACCATGTTCACTCCTGCTCACTCCTGTCACCTCCACATGGTCACCCGACAGAAACGCCACTGTCTGCCCACGGTCTTCTCACTGTCACCCTCTATTTGCTCCGGCAGCCTCTTGCTCACTCCACGCTCCCCCTTTTGATCCACGATCCCCACGTCCATTCATAGTGAACCCACGATCGTCCGGTGCTCTCACCAAGCTCAGCTGTTTGGCACCCCGTGTCTGCTCCAGCACCCGAGGGCAGGTGCCCATTCGGGGGATGCGTGGGGCAGGATTGGGATGCAGACAGTGAGGGCACCCAGGATATTACCTCTCCCCACAGGAGGCCCCGCTTGGCACAAGCACCTCTCATCTTGAGGGCAGTGCCCACGCTGATTTTCACAGTGCCCACAGCCGGGCACAGGGCACTCACAGGGTCTCACTTCTCTCAGAGGTGTCCAGGAGCAGCATTCCATTCCATTCCATTCCATTCCATTCCATTCCATCCCATCCCATCCCATCCCATCCCATCCCATCCCATTCCTCTTCCCCCTCCAGTCATGGAGCCCTGTGACGCAGAGCTCTCCCCATAGACCAGTGATACCAGCCAGCCCTGCTGCTAACTGCTCCGTGGGACACGCTCAGTTGCTTCCTGTACCACTTCCCAGCCTCTTCCCATCCTTTCCGGCCTGTGGTCACCCTGTGCTCATCCAAGTGTCACCGCATGGTCAGTTCCTGGCCACACAATATTCTGCCCGTGGTCTCTCCATGGTCACCCTGTAGTTCCTTCATATTTCCTTCATAGTAACTTCATGGTCGCCCAGTGGTGCTGCTGGTCTCACCGTGGTTATCCCAAGGTACCCCATAATCACCTCTTTGCCACCCCATTCTTACCCCCCGTACCCCAATATTGCCTCTTATGCCTTACCGTGGTCACTTCATGTTCTCCCCGTGGTCCCCTTTGATCACCCCGTGGTCACCCCTGGTTGCTCTTCCAGACCTCCCAGACCTCCCAGCACTGTTGCACAGGGCTACAAACGCTGCAGTGACACAGCTCAGCAGTGGGGCCGGGCTGTCTCCAAGCACCTTTCCTCTGACCGAGCACCCCAAGGACAGGACCCACGGCAGGGGATGCGTGGGTCGGGATGGGGATGCGGGGCTCTGATGGCACACGGGATGCTGACCCCCATCACAGCGGGCACCATTCATCTGCATCACCCTGACAGTGAGGACGGTGCCTGTGCTGATGCCAGCCGTGGCCATGGTCAGGCCCAAGGCGCACGCCGGCGCTCTCGGAGGTGAGCAGGAGCAGCTGGGGCTTTGAAGTGCAAGAAGGGAGCACAGGGTGAGCACTGAGCTACCATGAGGTCACCTTTGGGAACCACAGAGATAATATGAGGGTGATGCTTTTGTCTGGGAGACGATGAGGACGGCATGTGATGGTCGTAGAGGAACTACGGCGAGACCCCGAGTCCCCCAGTCTTCCCTTCACGGTGACCTCAGCAGTGCGGGCAGAGCCAGCAGTGATGGGGCTCTTCATCTCTGACACTGCGCTGGTGAGCACTCACACGAGTGATCCAGGGCCCATCCAGGGAGGTGCCCAGAGATCTCTGCATTCACCCAGGCAGAACTGGTAAGAAAGGGGACTTGGGGTCAGGCTGTCCAGGAATCTCCTCCTGGTGATAAGGCGAGCACCTGCACAAGGAGGATCGTCTCTTAGGACGGGCAGCTGAGCAGCCAAAAGGCTTTGTGGTGTTGGGCAGAGGTAGACGGGTGCTTTAACAACGCTATTGCAACAGCAGACAACGCTCAGGACCTCTGAGGTCACCTACGGCGATCAGCCACCAGGAGCAGCCACCGAAACACGTCCCTAAATGCTTCATCTGTCCTTTCCTTCAGCAGCTGCAGAGGCGGTGACGCCACCAATTCCCTGGGCAACCCGTTCCAATAATCACTCTTCTGAGAAGAAATTCTCCCTACTTCCCAACCTCCCCTGGCACAACGCAGCTCCGTTCCCTCTCTTCCTAAAGCCGGTTATGCAGAAGAGGCCAAATTCCACCCCACCACAAACCCCTTCCAGGGAGCTGCAGAGAGCCATGAGGTCTCCCCCGATCCTCCTCTTCTCCAGACCCGACACTTGCAGCTCCCTCAGCTGCTCCCCATAAGATCTACGCTCCATCCTTCCCAGCTCCGCTCCCTTCTCTGGGCTGTGTGCATATGGTGAGACGTTCCCTGTTTTCTTCTGCTTGGCCTGGCTGGACGTCTCGTCTGCCTCAGCATCAGAGTATTTCGCTTTTTGGACGCTGTCTGTCTTTCTATGTGATTTATTAGCTTCAATCCTAATTATATTGCATTACAGTGCGCTGCCTCGCATTCCGAAATCTTTTCCAGCAAATTCCTTTGTTTCTCCTCAGATCGCTGCCGCTGTTTTGTTTCCGGCCCACCTCCCCACCCTTTCCCATTTTTCCCTTTCCCTTTTCCCCAGCTGTCGACAAACCCCCGGGTTTCCTTCCTCTGCTCAGCTCCCCAGCCGCTCTGCCCCAAGCCCGTAACGATGCCCGGGGTTGTTGTGCCCAGAGTGCAGGACCTGGCGCTCGGTGTCTGTGAACTTCAGCCCTATGGCTGCAGCCCATGGCACAGCCTGTCCGGGTCCCCCTGCAGGGCCTTCCTACCCTCAGGCAGATTGATGCTTGCCTCTACCTTGGTGTCATCTGTAAACGTTCTGATGATGCACCCAACGCCCTCATCCAGACTGTCAGCGGAGCTATTAAACGAGGCAGGACCCGGTACTCAGCCATGAGGAACACCAGTGCCAGCTGGATTTATCTCCTTTCACCAGCCTTCCTGGATCCCTTTACCCATCAGGAATGGGCTGAAGCCTGTTGTGGCTTAACCTGAGGCGGCTCACACAGCCACAGACTGTTCACTCACCCCCCCTTCCCAGTGCGATGGGGGAGAGAATAACAAACCAACACAGTCATTGACTAAGACAGAGGAAAGGAAAAGGATAATGGTTATGACAAAGACATTTCTCTCCATAGCAGTGCATAGAACAAGTGATGCACGAGCAATTGCTCACCGCTGCCAGAACGATGCCCGGCGACCCCCAAGCAGTGGGGTGAGCAAAATGAACTCCCACCCCCTCCAGAACTCAGCCATGAGGAACACCAGTGCTGACCATTTTCTGTTCGGAGGTAAAGACAAAACATATCATGAGACGTTCCCTTTTTTCCTTCTGCTCTGCCTGGCCAGATGCCTTGTCTGTCCCACCATGAGAGCAACCAGCCTTCTGTTCCCAGGATCCATGGATAAACTCCGTGGGCCATAGATTGACACTCATGCAACTGGAGCAGCAAATCCCACCCACGTTCACAGTTCAGTGGAAGTTTATCATCAGTGCAGCCATGGTCCTCAACTCAGGGCTCCAGGAGTCACACAACCCATCGACTCTGTTCAGTGCAGAGGTGAAAAGAAATGCATTGTGTCTCTGCTTGTTCTATGCCCTGACTAATGAGGTGATCAACCTCATCAAGTAAGGAAGAGATGTCATCCACGATCCTCCTTTTGCTGGTTACATGAAGAAGCCTTTCCATTGTCCCCCACGTTAGTGGCCTGTTTCAGCTCTAACTGAGCTTGGACAGCATAAACATTCCCCTCAGAATAGTAGGCAGCGTTTCTGTAGTTCCCCCACGTTGCCTGATCTGGCTGCCAGTGTCCACTCACTTTCCTTTCCACCTCAAGTCTAAAAGAAAAACTCTGCTCAGATAAGCCAGACTTCAGTCCTGCTTCCTGACTACCAGCAGTCTGCTTCTCCCTGCACCAGAGCTCTTGAGAGATGGCTGTTAAATAGTGACCAGCACTGATGGACTCCAGTGCCTAGGGCAAGAGATGCTGTTCCAGAGATAACACTTAATTCCATACAGAATCGTTAATTGGGATCGCTGTCTTATGGTAGATTCCCACTTAATTGTCTCGTCCCTTAACCAGTACCCGGAGGCTCTCAACCACATCAGTGCCAACTGCAAGCTCCCCTGCATATCCACCCTATCCCCAGCTGAAAGGGAGCAATATGCACAATTCCCATGCCAGGGAGGAGGGGGGAAGAGTATTTTAGATGGGACCCAAAACACCAAGAACGGATCTAAGGTCAAGAAGGGAGCTACAGTCCATCCAAAGCATGGGAAAACTCTCCTGCTGGTCGGGGAGAAATCGGGGGCTGACTGATCCAAATACACCCAGGTGAAAATGTGAGCACCTTCTCTGAGCACTGGAGTGGAGATTGTCACCCTCGAGCAGGGCACACGTAGCACTGCCTGCTGTGCTGGCAGAGGAATCTCTTATGTGACCCCAGCTGGGATGCTGCTGCTTTACGGTGCTCTCTTCTGCGCCCCATGCAGGGAAAGGGGCTTGCTAATTCAGGGACTTTTGAAGCCTGGATGTCATTGAGGGAACTTCTGTGTGGCAGCTGTTGTGACTTGACTTCACAGAATGTCACAGAATTGCCAGGGTTGGAAGGGACCTCAAGGATCACGAATCTCCAACCCCCCTGCCACATGCAGGGCCACCAACCATCCCACCTAATGCTGGACCAGACTGCCCAGGGCCCCATCCAATCTGGCCTTGAACACCTCCAGGGATGGACAGGGCATCCACAGCCTCTCTGGGCAGCTGTTCCAGCACCTCACCACTCTCTCTGTAAAGAATTTCCCCCTGACATCCAAACTCAATCTCCCTTCCTTCAACTTCATACCATTTCCCCTCGTCCTGCAGTTATCAACCCTTTCAAAGAGTTGATTCCCCTCCTGTTTGTAGGCTCCC